GAGTCAGTATCATTGATCTTCATATTGATATTGCTCTTCCTTTATAAAACACATTGCAGGGTCTACAAAGAGACAGCTCCATCCAACACAAAAGTCAATAAGCCCATGCCACTTAGCTCTGTGGGCAATTGGGCTTGAGGGGCATCTCTTTTCCCTGTGATTCATAGGCCAGGCTACATGTTTGGATAGTCTAGGAAGCTTTCGGAAATAATGGTGGCTTTGGTTTAACATATTGCAATGAGTCCTAAATTTTGTTTCCCAGAAGGTCAGCATCAACATCTGCTGGGAAATTCTTATGAATGCAACTTTTTAGGTACTGCTTCAGGGATTTTATTCTCCAGGTGAAATGTGATTCTTGGATACAGTAAAGATAGAGCAATATGTGTGTGTATGTGTATAACATACATGCAAACATAATTATGTATATATGTATATAATATTAGTGATATGTATATTTTATATTTGTTTTCATTTATAATTTCATAAAGTATATGTAATGTATATGAAGTAGAAGGATTACATATGTGTGTATATACATGTTTAATGTATATATATATATATATATATATATATATATATATATCTTGCTAAAATACAGCAATGCAATTTTTATTCACACATACATCTCTCTAAGCTGTATGGTGCCTAAATAAATGGGCATTTCAATATTTATGTGACCTTTCTTTTTCTTATAATTTTCTGTTACACTGTTGTGATATGCATCTTTGTTCACATTCATCACCACATTCACTTCAGCAGCAGCACAGACCTCCCTAAAGAAAGTAGATTTTGAACACTCATATTTCTGGTGGGACTGCAAATTTGTGAGACCACTCTGGAAAGCAGTATGGAGATTGCTCAGAAACCTAGGAATGAAACCATCGTTGACCCAGTTATTCCATTCCTCAGCATATATCCAAAAGGTTTAAAATCAGCATACTACAGAGACACAGCCACATAAATGTTGATAGCAGCACAATTCAGAATAGCTAAACTATGGTACCAACCTAGATTCCCTTCAACAGATGAATGGATAAAGTGAATATGGTATATGTACACAATAGAATATTACTCAATCATAAAGAAGAATGACTTTATGACATGTTCCAGTACATGGATGGATCTGGAGACTATCACGCTAAGTGAAATAAGTCAATCCAAACAAAACCGAATGTTTTTGATGATATGTAGAAGTTAAACCACAATAAAAGGGTAGGGGGAGAAATTAAGTTCAGTAGACTAGACAAAGGGGAAGAGAGGGAGAATAGTAATTGGAAAGACAGTAGAATAAATATAACATAATTTTCCTAAGTATACATCTGAAATTATCTAATGGAATCTGACCATTGTGCCTATCCACAAGAACAGGGTCCTAACTGGAGTAAGATACATAATAGGGTTATATGATTTTATCAAATGAATTATATTGCTATGTGTAACTAAGAAGAACCAAAACAACAACATTTTTTAAAAATAATAAAAAATGCAGATTTTGTAGGTGTGTGGACTTAGAGGAATTCTGGCCCAGTGTGTTATTTGTGGCTTGCAGGGAAACATGAGTATGGAATACCAAATGCTCAGAGCACCCAGCATGGTGGGAGGGGTGTGGTGCCTCTAATGAGAGCCACAGGAGCATATGACAATCCCCTTGCAGAGGTACATTGAAATTTTTATACCAAATGCACTCTAAGTGTATACCATGTATAAATATGTGCACATAACTGTGTAGGTGACAAGGTAAGAGGTGAAAAGTTCCCCAAAGGACCACCTGCAGGCTGTGGTCTTTCTTCCTCCCTCACCACAGTTCCTCCATAAATTACTGACGACCCCAAATGGTTTTGTTTTTGTTTTCTCCACTCAAAATGGTGAACATGTTGAGAGTGTGCTTTGGCACTAAGCTCTACTGTTGTCCCAGGGCACATGGGAAAGTAAAAGCAAATCATTAAAATGTCTTACATGTAACAGTGGAAGAGACACTCATTCCAGCAGACGTCTACAACTCCACATAGAAAAAGAAGAAACATGAAAAAGCAAAATAGTAAAACATCACCAAAGTTCATGACTTTCCAGTGACTGAACCCAGAGTCATTGAAATGGAGGAAATGCCAAAGAATTCTAAAATTAATGGATAAAATGACTAATAAGCTAAAAGGAGAATTTAGGAATGAGATAAAGAAAAAAGTACAAGATACAGAGGACCATTTCAACAACAAAAGAAGATTCTGAAAAAGAATGAAACAGAAATCTTGGAAATAAAAAATTCAATCAAGTGAAAACTTTGATTGTGAGTCACAACAATATATTAGATTAACAGAAAAAAAGACTATTAGGATTACAAGTCATGGCAAATTAACTGGAACATTCAAATTAAATAAAAATATAAGAAACTATGGGGCTGGGATTTAGCTCAGTTAGTAGAGTGCTTGACTTGAACACACAAGACATTCCTTGGAAATCTGGGAATGGAACCACCATTTGACCCAGCTATCCTTCTTCTCAGTCTAAATCCCAAAGAATTAAAAACAGCATACTGCAGGGACACAGCCACATCAATGTTTATAGAACAATTCACAATAGCTAAATTGTGCAGCCAACCTAGATGCCCTTCTGTAGATGAATGGATAAAAAATAGTTGCAGTGGCAGAGCAACAAGGGCTATATTACAGAATGTTGAGAAAAGGAATTAAAGAAGATCCTAGAAGATGGAAACACATACATCTCTTGATGAAAAAAGTATTAATATTGTTAAAATGGCCATATTAACCAACAGTGATCTATAGATTCAATGCAAACCCTATCAACATACCAGACATTTTTCACAGTACTAGAAAAAGAAATCCTAACTTTCATATGAAAGAATAAATGATTTAGAATAGTCAAAGCACTCCTGAGCAAAGTGAGGCATGCTGTGGGCTTCACTTCAGATGACAGAGCTACAGTAGCAATAAGAGCATCATGTTGCCATGGAAACAGACACGTGGAACAAAGGGACAGAACAGAAGACAGAGACAAACCCACCCAGCTGAATTGATCTGGTTGTGGACAAAGGTACCAAAAACATATGCTAGGGAACACTCAGCCTCCTTAGTAAATGATGCTGGGAAAACTTCATATCCTTATGTACAAGAATTCACATAGTCACAGTCCTGAAGCCATGGGTTCAATCCCCAGTACTAAATCAGTAAATAAAAGGTGCAATCTTATTCATTGCTTTTCTATTTCCCATTCACTTATTTCCATCTGTATTTTTATCATTCTTACAGTTTAATTTGTTCTACTTTTTCTCATATATATATATATATATATATATATATATATATATATATAAACATTATTTCTTTGAGTCCTTTTATCCATCTTTATTTATTTATTTATTTATTTATTTATTTATTGTATTTTATTTTAGTTTTTGGTACCAGGAATTGAACTCAGGGTTACTTAGCCACTGACCATACCCATTATTTATTTATGTTTTAAATTTTAAGACAGAATCTTGCTGCATTGCTGTGGCTGACCTCAAACATACCATCCTCCTGCCTCAGGCTCCCGAGCCAATGGGCTGACAGGTGTGTACCAACATGCCCAGCATTTCCTTCTTTTAGAATTCACATGTACAATAAAAAATTTTCTGAGTGTGGGTTTTGCTATATCCCTAACACTGTGGTAGGTTATTTATTCATTTTCATTTTTCCTAAAGCATTTTCTGAATTTCTATGTGATTTGTTATTAGATCCATTGATTATTTATCAATGTAATAGTTCTTACACCTATATGAATATTCTAAATTTGTTTTTGTTAATAATTTCTAATTATATCACATTATTGTGACAATATAATTAGTGTTATTTCAATATTTTTAAAGTTTACTTAAACTTGTTTTTTACATAGTCCAACACGTAGCCTATTTTAAGTGCCCTTACGAGTGTGTTTTCTGCAGTTGTTGGATGGGCTGCTTTAGAGATACTGCTTAGGTTATTAGGGATATGGTGGTCAATCCCTCTCACTGATTTTCTGTTTAGTGGTTCTGTCTATCCATTATTTAAAGTGAGGTATTGAAGTCTCCAACTGTTATTGTCGATTAGTTCTCTCTTCAATTCAGCCAGCTTTATAATTTATTCATTTATTTGTTCATTCGTTTTTAATTTATGGTTCTGGTGCTTCAACCCAGGGAAAGCTACTCCCAGAATTCACGTTAAAAACTTTTCTTTCTTGATTGCACTTGTTTTCTTCTCCCAGTATTGTTCTATGGGTTTAAGGAGTTTGTTGTCAGGACGGTATATATTTATAATCGCTGCATCTTCTTGATTTACTGGAAGTTTCATTGCAATATAATGTCTTTGTTCATTACTTAAGATGTTGTTAAAGCATATTTTCCTGATAACATAGTTACTTCATCTCTCTTTTAAGTATTGTTTGCAAGGAATTTTTTATATACACTTTTGTTTTCAACCTATTTGTTTAGTGGACTTTAAAGTGAATGTCTTATGAACAGCCCGAAGTTGGGCCATTTTCCTACTATTCTTTCCATTTTGAATAGTTTTGTATATTTACAGCTAATACCAATAAAGAATGACATATTTCTTCAATTTTGTTATTTATTTTCAATATACTTATGGTCTTTTTGATCCCAATTCTTCCCCTGCTGACTTTCTTATGTTAAATAGATATTTTCTTAAGAGATCCTTCTAATTCTCCAATCTTTTTATCTATATTTCCTGAGCTATTTTCTTAGTATTCTTTAATTGTTTTATTATTTTCTTAATTTATAACAATTTGATTTGTATTAATACAAACTTAACTTCAGTAACAAACAAAAATATTGTTCCCAGGTATATCTACCCTTCAAAATGTATGCAGTTAATATCACAGATCACATTTTTTCATGCAATTCACTCATTAGCTTAGATTAATAATTACTGATTTACATAATTTTCTTTAAAATAAGAAGGAAAAATACAAACAAGGATACAGGATACGTTGGTCTTGCCTTTTGCACTCACCATGCAATTTGTCTCCAGGGTTAACTCTCTTGTGTCCTTTCTAGCTTCCAAGGGTTGTTTGGCCAGAGAGAGAATTTCTTGAGCTATTGTCTTCTGAATTCCAGAACTTCTCATGAAAACGTTGTTATTATTTGTTTGAGAATCTCTTGCATCTGGTTACTTACTTCCCTCTTGCTGCTTGAAAAAATGTTTGTGTTTTCAATAACTTAAAATAATATGCTTCACACTTTAGATAGAGCCCTAATATCCAGAGTATACAAAGAACTCAAAAAATTAAACAATAAGATAACAAATAACACAATCAACAAATGTGCCAAGGACCTGAACAGACACTTCTCAGAGGAGGACATACAATCAATCAACAAGTACGTGAAAAAATGCTCACCATCTCTAGCAGTCAGAGAAATGCAAATCAAAACCACCCTAAGATACCATCTCACTCCAGTAAGATTGGCAGCCATTATGAAGTCAAACAACAACAAGTGCTGGCGAGGATGGGAAAAGGGTGCTCTTGAACATTGCTGGTGGGACTGCAAATTGGTGCGGCCAATTTAGAAAGCAGTATGGGGATTCCTGGGAAAGCTGGGAATGGAACTACCATTTGACCCAGCTATTGCTCTTCTCGGACTATTCCCTGAAGACCTTAACAGAGCGTACTATAGGGATACTGCCACATCGATGTTCATAGCAGCACAATTCACAATAGCTAGACTGTGGAACCAACCTAGATGCTCTTCAATAGATGAATGGATAAAAAAAAATGTGGCATTTATACACAATGAAGTGTTACTCTGCACTAAAAAATGACAAAATCATGGAATTTGCAGGGAAATGGATGGCACTAGAGCAGATTATGCTAAGTGAAGCTAGCCAAGCCCTAAAAAACAAATGCCAAATTTCATCTTTGATATAAGGAGAGCAACTAAGAACAGAATAGGGAGGAAGAGCATGAGAAGAAGATCACCATTAAACAGGGTCAAGAGGGGGAAGGGAAAGAGAGAGAAAAGGGAAATTTCATGGTAAAGGAATGAGACCTTCAATGTTTTACAAAATTACATTTAAGAGGAAGTGAGGGGAAAGGGGAAAAAAGAGAGAGATGAACTACAGTAGATGGGGCAGAGAGAGAAGATGGGAGGAGAGGGGAGGGGAGGGGGGATAGTAGAGGATAGGAAGGGCAGCAGAATACAACAGACACTAGTATGGCAGTATGTAAAAACATGGATGTGGAACCCATGTGAATCTGCAACCTGTATACGGGGTAAAAATGGGAGTTCATAATCTGCTTGAATCAAATGTATGAAATATGATATGTCAAGAGCTTTGTAATGTTTTAAACAACTAATAATAAAAATAAATAAGTAAATAGAATAATATGCTTCAGTGTCACTATTCTGTCCTACATGGAGTTCATTTAACTTTGTTCATATGTACATTGATGTTTTTAATCTAAGGCACCATTTCTTCCAAAGATTTATTTCGTTTTTATTCCTTCTCTTCTTTTGGATCATCTAGTGAGTAAATTTTTACAGGACAAATCCAAGATTTTTGCTTGGCTAAGTTCACAAGTTGCTTACTCTTCACTGATTCTCTGTTTTGTTCGATATCCTCTTTGGGCTTTCTCTTAATTCTTGATACGCGATTGTATATCTTTGCACATATGGTTATTTTCCTGGTGACTTTCAGAAGTCACTCTGCTAAGTCTGTACTTGTTGTGACCTGGCCTGGGAATTCTTCCCTTCCCTTCCCTTGACAGCCGCTGACTAGGTGGAGAGATCCTGAGTTCCTGGTGCCATAGACCCTGCAGTCTTCTCCTGGGCTGTGTACGAGGATGCACCTTCAGCACTCTCCAGGCCATTCACAACCGTGCCCCACCTTTCACTCCCTGTTTCCAAAACACAATGAGAACTGAGGGTGAGAGCAGAGGTTCTTGCCTGGCCTGCCCTGGGGAGGGTGGGCTTCTGTGTTCCTGGACTACATTGGCAGTTGGTAGTCTATTGTTATCCCATGTCATCTGTCCCTTAGGCAGGCACATGTGGCACAGCAGCCTGTAATGATGCCACAAATAGTCCCACCCACCCCAGGAAGCCCCTCCCGGAAGCAGCGGCCCCACATTCACCACATGAAGAGGATCTGATCCCTGGGCATCGCCATCCTGACCTGGGTCCTCAGGCCAGTCAGAGCCAAGAACTCATGACAGATCCCTGTGAACAAGAGTGGCTCCTCTTGGTGGCAGAAGGAACACAGGAGGCTATGTCCCGGGATTCTCATGAACTGGGCTGAGGAGGATGGGATGGAAGGAAGTTAAAACACAATCAAGTACCATGTTCTCATCAGAAATGAGCCCTCTTTAATGAACCCAAGCCGTAAAGGAGATAAGCCAAGAATCCGAGCTACGCTGCCTGTGAAAAGCACCATTGTTTCCTTTCAGGTTCTCAGAGGCCATGGCTGACCAGGGCTGGCCCAGGGGGGCCTCTGCAAGTAACCTAGTTTTCAACAATTTTCATTCTAGTTTTGATTAATGAATTTTATTATAATATTTTAAAAGTCTGGCATAATTTCCTCCTTATAAAAATAATACAAACTCATTGTTGAAAATCTGCAAGATGCACAAATTTGGAAAGGAATAGAACCACTTACACTGAATAATTAACTATTATTTCTAGTTAAGAACTATTCTTCCTATCCTTTTGTTTATATAACCATGACATTCTCTAGATAGAAGTTTGCATAATGCTAATTTTCACTTAAGAAAGTGTTAGCCACAGTCTTTTTCTATGTTTATGAGCTTGTTTAAAGTCTAGCTGATAGCTATGTATGATGTAATGTTATGCAGACATTGGTGTTTGGTTTTCATAAAAATGTATCAGTGTTAGGGTCTGTAAACAAGTCAAGATGGCGCCTGGCATTTTGCCGGGGGAGTGGTTTGCGAAGTCACGCCAGCGAGCAATTAAGTGTGGAGATTCCTTATTGGTTGACTGCTGTATCTAGTTTATGTTAATTAAGATAAGCTGTGTGGAATGTATATATGCCCCTCCTATCCTACAATAAATGGTGTATCAACCTTCACAAGTTCCTCGTCACCCCCTGGTTAGTTTGCTGCAGCCGGACTGCGGTATATCAATCCTTAAATTGTAACTATATAATATTTGATCTATGGATATAAGCATTTAATATTTCCATTATATTTAGAATATTTCTATTATTTTAGTTATGAAATGTGACATTGTTATAGACCAAATTGTGTCCTTACAAAATGTATAGGTTGAGGCCCTAACTCGAGCACCCGGAAAGTGACTTATTAAATACATCATTAATTTAAAACAAGGCCATGAGTGTGGCATTATTCTCACAAAACTGGTGTCCATGTAAGAACAGCAAATCTGGATACACAAGGAGACCCTGGGGGTGTGAACTCAGAGATTTTGTGAGGACACAGGAAAGCAGGCAGCCTCAAGTCAAGCGAAGAGGTGTCAGGACACCAAAGGAACTGACGCCTTGCTCTCGGAGGTCTAGCTGCCCGAGCTTCGATAAAACAAATTTATGCTGTTCACACTGTTCAGTATGTGGTACTTCCACAAGGAAACCCTAGAAAACTCATACAGTAGTATGATGGAGTCCTGTGTCCATTTGGATAGTCAGTGGTCCACTCATGATGCATAGTGATGACATTTTTGGTGTGATATATGACCTCTGAAACCATTAGAAATGGCACTTACTAAAACACCTGTAATGTATCTTCATTACCCATGTTTCATATGATATATCATGCTTGAAATCAGTTACTTCACACAGTTCTTCCTGACACTCTGAGAAGAACTTTAACCAATAACGATAGTGAAAACTATCCCTGATTCTAAGCAGTCCCAGTATCATGTTCGTTACCCCTGAATGCAGACAGGAGAGGGCCTCTTACTCCTGACAGGCATCCTGGGGAGGCTGTGTGCCACACCCTCTTTTCTGCCAAGGCACTCCCACACAAAGACCAGACCTACTGCAATACAAAGGAAAAGTTGATTTTACATCTCTTTTGATCCTCCTGGGATGCTACACATATCCTGACATATTTAACTAGGAAAATATTAACTTGTTGTACCAAACAGCAGACAGCACATTAGTTCAAGAGTGCATGATGAAAAAATAAATAAAAAATAAACAAAAAAACATGTAACGGGAAAACCTTAAAGCAAACTGCATGCTAACAAGGCAGGAGACCTCATTGAAGATGTTGTCTCCAGCCCCACTTGTCCAGAACTGGAAAAGGGGAGTAAGACTCCAGAATACACCAAAAATTAGTTATTAAAAATAATCTTAAACTATATAACTCTGTAGGTGAGTGAAAAAAAATAGGGAGAGAAGAAGAACCCAAAACCCAGGAGGGAAGAAATACAGAAGAAGGAAAAGTGAGGTGAGAAAGACAAAGGGGGATATAAGGAGGGCAACTAAGAACAGAGCAGGGAGGAAGAGCATGAGAAGAAGATCACCATTAAACAGGGACGAGAGGGGGGAGGGAAAGGGAGAGAGAAGGGAAACTGCGTGGAAATGGAAGGAGACCCCCATCGTTATACAAAATTACATATAAGAGGAAGTGAGGGGAAAGGAAAAAAAACAAGAGAGAAATGAGTTAGGATAGATGGGGTAGAGAGAGGGGAGGGGAGGGGAGGGGGATAGTAGAGGATAGGAAAGGCAGCAGAATACAGCAGACACTAGTATGACAGTATGTAAAAACGTGGTTGTGTGACCGATGTGATTCTGCAATCTGTATACGGGGTAAAAATGGGAGTTCATAACCCACTCGAATCAAACATATGAAATATGATATGTCAAGAGCTTTGTAATGTTTTGAACAACTAACAATTAAAAAAAGACAAATGGGGAAACTATAAAACGAAAAGGAAAAAACAGATATTGATAATAAATCCAATTAACATAAAAATAGGTCAAATTGGGCTAAAGTATGCAATATCTCATCACTGCAGAGGACTAAACCAATCAACATGGAAGACAATACTAGTGAAATCAAGAACATGAGAGACCTTGACTCAAAATAAAATAAAGAAAG